ATAGCTCTGCCATTACTCTCTTCCAACAAATATTGCCTTTTTCTCAATCGTCTGTCAAATATCATTACATTTTATGGCGAATATTTTGCCCAAACTTTTGTTTATCCTTCAAATGGTTTTTATATATTACACAGAATTTGAACAAAATTTCGAAAACATTTGAGAAATTCTCTGCACTTATTATAAATGTTTAAATGCATTCTCTATTCGCTATATTCTCTACAAAACAAGGATTCTTTGGAATCAAATATTTTAAAATGTTTTTTACCAGGTTTCTTAAGGATAATATCTTTATTATAACATATTTTAAGCAAATAATATAAATATTTATATAATTATATTTAATAAATTTAATAAATTGTATATAGTATTTAGTTAGTGTAAGTTAGTATAGTATTTAAATATAAATTTAGTGTTTAAATGATATGTAAGATAGTATAATCTGTATATATATTATAGACTGATTAAAGTCAAAATTGATATAAATAAATGTCATTAAATATCAAACAAACTTCATTTCTATTGTATTACAAAACAAATTGAATTGAGCAAAAAGTTGGTAATTTGTTTTGTGAGCTAAAGATATAGTAATACATTGACAGTGTATTTGTGAAAAGATTTATGAATATTTCATTTGAAATTCTTAAACAGAATAATCACATGAATAAAGTGATCCAAAAGTGATAAAATGTATCACAACTGGTCTTCGAGTCTATTCCTCATTGTTTGTTGTGATTCATCTGAGAATAGATAACATTAAGTGAATGCGAGTTATAATAGAAAGTAAGGAACAGTCAGACAATGACAGCCATACTCTACGGCCTCTTAAGCCCTGAAGAGCGCTCCCATTCAGGACTGGGTCTCACGCTTCCAAACGATCACTTAAATGCTTCACAAATTTTTGGTTATGAATTTATATCGACTTTTATAGTGGTTTTGGCCTTTTTAGCCAATTCTGATCCCCAACGATCTGATGCAGGATTTAAGTCCTTATCCATTGGATTTGCATATTCTGTCGCTCATCTATTTTCCGTGAGTTTGCTTTCATTAATGTTCACAAACTTTTTTAATCTAATTTTTAAATAAATTATAATATTAATTAAAATAAATAGTTTATATACAATAAGTGAATATTTCTAAAAAGTTATAAATTATAAAATTCTAGAAAGAAATTATTAAATTTTAGTAATAACTCCTTAAATCAATTTATCTAAAATAAAATAAAATAAAATGATTTTTACTGAAATATTCTGTAAAAAAGTGTATATAATTTTAAATAAAAACATAAACCAACATTCATTTTTAAATACAGTATTAATAATACCGTAACATTGTTTGAGATTAAATTATTTATTTTAAAAATCGTTAATTAATCACTGAAGTAAGTAAAAGTTGTTTTTATTTAATTTACAGAATTTCACATTTCATTGAGAAAGAATTTCAATGAATCGTTAGTTTTGTACAGTACTATAATAATAGCTTTTGATTAAACTCAACTATTTTCACACTTTTATTCAATTTATCTCTCAACTAAACAATTAAATCTCTCTCTCTCTCTCTCATAATATGTTTTAAATATATATTATTGTATTGAATTAGTGTAGATTATGTGTAATTAGCATAGAATTTGTTTATTTTTAAATATAAAGCACTAAATAGAAAGGATACTAAAAAGTGGTTTTAGTAACATAAATTATTGTATATCAATAAAACAATTTTGAGAAGTGATTTGAAATAAACTTAACATAACTTTGGACTTACTAGTTTGATTTACTAAATTCAAGTTATATTTATTTATAAAATACTCGACGATAAAGTAGATTCAAAATATTTATTTATTCATAAAACAATTTTAATTTTTATGTTCCGGTTATATTAATAAATACAGAAATATAATCAATATTTTTCTCATTATATATGATTTTTCTAAAAAATAAATATATTAACGAATTCTGATTAAAACAAATTAATTCACATTTTTGTAATTTATCTCAAAAATTGTAACTAAAACTCAAAACAACGGCATTTCCTTTGTTCTCTAATTACATGTAATCTAGAAATTTGAGTAAATTTTAATGTTTACTGGATTTAATCATATCTTTAAATGACATTTACTTCTAAACTAATGACAATTTGCTATTGTATGGCAAAGTCATATCAGAGTTACTCTCTCTCTCTCTCTCTCTCTCTCTCTCTGTCTGTCTCTCTCTCATAATATGTTTTAAATATATATTATTGTATTGAATTAGTGAGATTATGTGTAATTAGCATAGAATTTGTTTATTTTTAAATATAAAGCATTAAATAGAAAGGATACTAAAAAGTGGTTTTAGTAACATAAATTAATGTATATCAATAAAACAATTTTGAGAAGTGATTTGAAAAAGACTTAACATAACTTTAGACTTACTACAGTAGTTTGATTTACTAAATTCAAGTTATATTTATTTATAAAATACTCGACGATAAAGTAGATTCAAAATATTTATTTATTCATAAAACAATTTTAATTTTTATGTTCCGGTTATATTAATGGATACAGAAATATAATCAATATTTTTCTCATTATATATGATTTTTCTAAAAAATAAATATATGAACGAATTCTGGTTAAAACAAATTAATTCACATTTTTGTAATTTATCTCAAAAATTGTAACTAAAACTCAAAACAACGGCATTTCCTTTGTTCTCTAATTACATGTAATCTAGAAATTTGAGTAAATTTTAATGTTTACTGGATTTAATCATATCTTTAAATGACATTTACTTCTAAACTAATGACAATTTGCTATTGTATGGCAAAGTCATATCAGAGTTATTATGCAAAAAGTGATTCATGTAATGCTTAAGAGCACAGATATGTAGCACATAATGGCTTGAAATGCAATATACAAGTGCTTTGATCAATGAAACCAGTGCTCAACACAAGCAAATACCAGCCCTCAGCCCATCAGCTCATTGTCTGACTGTTCCTTACTTTCTATTATAACTCGCATTCACTTAATGTTATCTATTCTCAGATGAATCACAACAAACAATGAGGAATAGACTCGAAGACCAGTTGTGATACATTCTATCACTTTTGGATCCATTCTATCGCTTTTGGATCACTTTATTTCATGTGATTATTCTGTTTAAGAATTTCAAATGAAATATTCATAAATCTTTTAACAAATACACTGTCAATGTATGACTATATCTTTAGCTCACAAAACAAATTACCAACTTTTTGCTCAATTCAATTTGTTTTGTAATACAATAGAAATGAAGTTTGTTTGAGATTTAATGACATTTATTTATATCAATTTTGACTTTAATCAGTCTATAATATATATACAGAATATACTATCTTACATATCATTTAAATACTATATTAACTTATATATACAATTTATTAAATTTATTAAATATAATTATATAAATATTTATATTATTTGCTTAAAATATGTTATAATAAAGATATTATCCTTAAGAAGCCTGGTAGAAATACATTTTAAAATATTTGATTCCAAAGAATCCTTGTTTTGTAGAGAATATAGCGAATAGAGAATGCATTTAAACATTTATAATAAGTGCAGAGAATTTCTCAAATGTTTTCGGAATTTTGTTCAAATTCTGTGTTATATATAAAAACCATTTGAAGGATAAACAAAAGTTTGGGCAAAATATTCGCCATAAAATGTAATGATATTTGACAGACGATTGAGAAAAAGGCAATATTTGTTGGAAGAGAGTAATGGCAGAGCTATTACTCATATAGATGTGTGTATTCTATAGAGTAATCCCGTAATTGACTTAATGATCCGTTATTTCTAAAGACCAAACTCTGTGCTCTTTTCCACTACAGAATGCATCTATACTTCAGTTTTATACTTATTTTTATGGCAATTCAAGCATTCATTTTATTAAATGTATATACATTTTCTTTGACCTCCAGTTCCGCCACACGGGAGCCTCACTATCTCCCGCCCGATCTTTTGGTCCGGCCGTCATAAAAGGCATTTGGCGCTACCATTGGGTATGTACAGGGATTCATATTTAACAGCATATACATGTATTTCTATAAATAAACAATTATCTCATTTGTCACTAAACTCTTTGCGCGTAAACCAGATCTATTGGATCGCACCACTCATCGCAGGTATGTTAAGCGGGTTTACCTACGAATACATCCGATCGACCACTTCGACTGAAAGCCAGTCCCTGAAGAGATCGTTTAGGAGGAGCTCTCAAGGAGTCAAACGCGACCAGAGCTCTAATCTCAGTAATTATGAAACAGAATTTACTATCACTTCCACTGAATGTCCCCGATATTGACATTTCATTTGCATATTTCTATCAATCATACCATTTATGTTTTGTTGAATAATGTATTTTGTTTGACTCACATATAATTGATTGTTAAGTTTGTCCACATTCAGTGAAATCTCTAACAAATTACATTAATTTGTGAATAAATATTTGTATAATTGGTTTCAATAATTGAATAATTAATGGCAAACGCTTTATATAAATAGAAATGATTATTTATTTAAATTCTGTGAAATTTAGCATTTTCTTTGTTTGATAACATTGCTTATTTTTAAAAATACTTTATGCAAACATAAAATTTCATTGTTTTAAGATATTAATTTGAATAAAAACATAATTTTCAAATTGCATAAATTACTTTTAAATCAAAATGTAATATTTGTAAAGAATTGTTAAATAATGTGTTATTCATATCAAACAGATAAACATTATATTTTTAGTTATGTTTTATAAAATTTTTTGTTCAAAACATTAAACATTGAAACAAAAAAGATTGAAATTTTTGTGACTAACGATCAGAAAAAGTATTTTTATATAAATCTTTGTTTGCAATTATTGAACATTTGTTTGAGTTTAGATACCGTAAATGTAATGAATGTCTAATATATTAAAACTTTAGTCTGTATTCAATGTTAATATACTGTAATAAAGCGAAAATGCGATTAAGTTATTGTTATTTTTGATTATTATATTATAATAGACTTAAGTCTTACACAGAAATCATAGAAAGGAAAGACTCGTGAGATTAAGTGAGATCTTCTTAAGTCGGATCTAATGTTGAGATATTGTTATTTGGGTCAGAGATAGTGCACCCAAAGACAGACAATACATTAACTCATTCCCAAAAGTTGTCGTTTTGAGGACTTGAAGGCTGAGTCCATTTGTGTCGGTTCTGGTGATTCACGCCATCGATCCCAATGTCATAGAGTAAGATAAAGTAGAAATCATGGCATCCTTTTCCCACTTTTACATTTACACATGGATTATAAGATTTATGGCTGACATCAGGTCTCAGTTTCTATGACTTCTGTTTCTCTCGTGTGTTGTGCAGAGTTTGAGTGAATTTTGTTTTCTTGACTTTTCAACCAATATTTCGTTACATTCCTATCAAACATTGGCTCAATTACTAGACCTAAAGGCGTCCTTTTATTACATATTATTACTCTTGAACTGTATTTTTGTCACTAAACCTAATTCTACTTCTCTTTGACCGCAAACGAAAAAATAATTGGATATTGATTTCAGCCGTACAGATACCACAACATGTATGGGCTTTATATAACTCATACAACACAACAATTTAGCCAATTCTGGCTCAACACAAATGAAAGAATAGTCTCAATATGTTATATAACTACTGCTAATTCCACTCCAATTATTATTTCTATTCCTTTCATTCACTTATTTATAGTCTGTTTATTACATATAAAACTGAATAAATTATTACCATTTGGTTTCAAATCTAAACTAATTAAGGCATCAACTTTGAATTTTAGTCCTAAAATGTCATGAATTATTAAAAATTATTAAATTAAAAATCGTCAAAAGCAGTTCAAATGAAAATAATGATTAAAAATGTTGTGAAATACAAATTAATTCTTACTTATCATTAATTATATGCGTTAATAATTAAAGAGTAACTTTAGTTTATATTTTAAAATTTTAATAATTGCTATAATTGACTTTTAAATTACTAATCTTTGTCATTTGCAATGTATTAAAATATTTACTCTATATTAATAATTCAAAAGTCCATTAAAGCAATTATTCTTTAATATTAGACTAAACCGTTTCTTTCAATTATATCACATAATTATAAAACATATAATTTTTAAATCTGTTTTTATTCAAATACATTATAATAATGTTTAAATTTAAAATATAAAATTGAAGCCATAGATAGTAAATGTAGATAAAATATACATACGGACTTTAATCAAAATCATTAAAATCTGTTGTTATATTCAATACAAATTAGAGTCTATAGTTGTATGGATTGTATGGCGGATTGTCCCTCATTTAGATTCCAAAGCATTCATAGCATGAGTTGTAATGCAAATTAAAATGTAAAGTAAGTTCAAGCAAATGATGTCAATTTTCATGAATTTCAAATAGACTTTCAATTTATACACACTTTTAGCCATACGCTGAATACTACTTATGTTTTCATAAGCAGATCTTCTTTTGAGTGCATTTTATTTGTGTTGTAATTATTTTTATGAAAGTTATTAACGTTGAGAATATATTTTTGTTACTCCTTTTGTATAATCGATAAAACATAACTGTAAGTTGTATCAAAATTAATGTTTTATTTTAAAAAAGTAGTACTTTCTTGAATCTTTTATTCAAAAATTTAAAATGTATTTCACTGTAACGCAAATAAGTTGAAAAGAAAATGTATTTTTAACTAATCATTTACATGAATAATGTATAATCGTTTAGATGCTATAAATTTTAAAGAGTATTTTTATTTAAATTTGATTCAAAGCTCAAGTTTTATTATTTTTATTTAAGGATTTTGTAAAATTTTAAAATAAGAATTATTTGGATTATTAAAGAGATAAGAAATATTCTTTATTAAATGATACTCGTTATAAATAATATTCATTTTTGTTTGATTTTAGTTAGTAATAAAAATCATGCTTGTAAAATAACTTTCAAAATAATTTACAAAATGAACTTTAATTAATTGTGTAATGTTAATATAAGAATTTAATGCAAATGTTAGATTTATTAAATAAACTTACATAATTAAAATTGCAATATCTCATTTTCAGGATATTTAAAAGTTATGTACCATGGTCATATGAAGAATACAAACCTAGTTTTAGGTTCACTAAAAATAAATTAGATGCCTTATAAAGAGTACTGTATTCAATGCACGCATTGTGTTATACATGGAAAGTCTTAAACAATTGAATCAATGCATAGATTCTATTGGAAAAGAATACATTAAATGCATTAAAACTCTTGTTTTAGAGATTGCACTCATTTTATGACTAGTTTTATGTATATATTTTAAATCAAACATAAAGTTTGTATTCTTTGTGATCATTTCTGTGTATTATAAGAATGTGGCGACCATTACAACAACTAATTTAAATAAATTTCCGTATATTTTGTTTTGTTTGATATGAGGCTATATTTGAACGAAAGTGAAGATCAATTTCTTTTAAGTATAAGTATTGGATGTTTGCAAATAATAGAATTTATTTGATATCTAAAATGCATCAAATGATTGATGATCTCTAATACCTGTTTTCAAAATTCACGTTTTATTCTCTATATATTCTGTATATTCTGTTTGTAACTCAAGAATTCCATTGCCTTTAGTCTATTGTTTAATCTTTAAAATATAATACATAACAATAAAAAATATCAAAATATTTATGAATTCAATGACTAGTATTAGTATCGAGTAAATATAATAAATATTGCATATTTTACTTATTTTATAGACTTCATGTTGTGATACTTTTTCAAATTAGTTTTATGTAGAATATTTTTAAAATATGGATTTTTTGTTTTAAAATAATTGCATAATTTGTTAATTTAAAATTTTGATGGTGTATATTTTATATTTCTGTTTAAATTATAAATATAAGTATAAGAAAAGCACATTTTTAAGCTAATAAATTAATTGGATTGTACCAAATTGTATTGAACTATACTGAAGTGACAGTGAATTGAATAGTAAATATTCAGTATATTTAAAACAATTAGTCTGTTATAAAGTAAACTTGTCATTTTGATTATATCTACAAAGCATGAAGTATATAATTTAAAACAAATATTTATCAAATTAAAAGGCAAGTTTTGTGGTTAAAAGTGTGTATTATATATAAAATTGATCTGAATTTTAAGCTAAATTGTAAATTCAATTCTTATAGTTTGTGTTCATTTTTCATTGGCAAACAGTCAGTGCTTACCATTTGTTCTCTATTTATCTTTAATGTATCGCTTGTTGTCTTATATGAAGAACAAACCGATCGATTCTCTCTCTCTCTCTCTCACTCTCTCTCCATACAGATGAGGGCTAACA